GATAAGCAGTACATCTTCTTAACCTCAAAAATATCTTGCATTGCAGATATTGACTCTTGTGCTCACACTTTTGATGGTTACCTTTAAAATGTATGGGGCACAGTTTTTAACCAACTTCCCCCCGAAATGAACCCTTTAGGAATAACTCACAAGGGGAAATACCAGGTTTTCTGAAGCATTCATCAAAATCCCTGTTTCCAGCATAATAATGACCAATAAATGAATTTCCAGCTACAAAGAAAATCAAGTTTTACAAAATAATATGGCCCCATATCAGCCCACCAGCAACACTAGAAATTAAGAAAATAAGAGTGCTTACATGGCCCAAGACACAGAGGTAAGATCTAACTTAAAAACCTAAACCCTATGCCATCAAAGTGCATCTTATCTTTCTAGGCCAATGAGAAGCATGCATGTCAGTAAGCAGATGAAAACAAAGGCCTGTATTGTAGCAGTCCTCAAACATCAGCAGCTTTTCCAATAAAACAAAAAGTAGAGTAGCAAAGCACTGAAAACAGCTTCACAGTTAATTGCAAGTTAATTGATTTCAACTGGATCATCAGGGTTGGGCTGGTGTATTGACTCAGTCTCTGTTCCTGCCTATTGGTGCCAGCCAGTTACGGAGCTTTTGGAGCTTTCTGCAGTATGCTAGTGCTTCTCTGGTTGCACTGAGATCTGTGTGTATATACGTATCCATTTCCCAGAGGTGGAAATTTGCACTTTCTAAGGAGGAATTTAATGCAGAGATTTTTTTTTTTTTTTTTAAATATACCCACAAGCTCATTTGAGCAGTATCAGCAACGTACGTTACAGCTGCCTTGAAGTTACACCAAAGCTTTAATCTTCCTAACAGCACGGATTTCTCTACACAGTCTCAAAAGTATAATCTTTGGACATACATTATTATAAGCCTATTTATCATTCAAAGCATATTAGCTGTTTCTTCTGTAGTATCCTGGTTTATTAGGATTTTTAAAAACAAGACTTCCCTTTACACAAACCCTATAGCAATTTAGAAGAGCACTCCAATTAAAAAAACATGAGCTTCCTAATTAATAGTCTTTTACTGATTCTTCCAATAGCTTAATTAAAATAAACAAGCAGCAGAATTTTAACATGATTATTTCTAATAAGATTTCTTTTTTTAATCAGTTATTTTACTCCTAATATTTCTAGCAGAAAGTGGCTTATTTCTTATTAGGCTCTTTCATAGTGCTGAATCCCTCACTCGTCCTGCTAGGGTAATTACAGACATCTGTACAAGTTTAGCGCAAAGATTGTGAAGTCCTAAAGGGGATATGTCAACAACTTAATGTAAATTAAATGTAAGCCTGCTTTACCTTTGGGAAAAGATTAGTGCTTATTGTGCAAAAAAAATGCTTCTGGAAACCAACAACAAGTTAATTCAAGTAAACAGCAAATACAGTTAATACTCATTTTCTATTATAGGCCTTTGGCTTAGCTGTTTTAATTGTTTCCATTTTGTATGTAAATCAAGTGTTATTTTCTGGTTGATTTAACATTTAATTTTTTAATGTAAGTCATTCTTACTAAATTAATATTAAAAACACAAATCAAAAATTTTACTGCTTTCTTTTGCCTTAGACGCATGGGTTCACAATTTCACTGAGGCTTTTGTAGGAGCTGGACAACATCTTCAGCATGAACTGCTAGTTTTCAAAGACAAACTGCTTCAAATTATAGAAGATGCTTTAGAGGTGTACTGTGGACTAGAGATACATCAACTGTAGGTTTTAATGCAGCTCCCTTACAGAGTTTTGTGTAAGTCATTATTTAAAGTTGCTGCATCAGGAGGAAAACAGTCATTCGTAAGTATTAATCTAGTCCTTTTGGGAACATAAACATGGTGTGTGGATACAGACCAAAAAAGTCTGATCCTGCACTAAACAGGAAAACGAAAATACCCAGCCACTAAACTCCATTAAAGCCACCGGTGCTACTAATGTATGTTTTGTTGAAGACTTGCGTGAGGGCTGGGATGATGGGGATCTTTGTTTCTGTTTACATGCAGTCCTAAAAAGGCTGTATCTACTGTGTCGTTTCTATCATTGATAGTTTGTTCATTGCTCCTCGCTTAACATGTGGTTTCTACTGTTGCTGATAGACACTGCTATGGAAGTTAGATAAAGGAGGAACAACAAAGCAACTACAGCTACTGAGATTAAGTGTCCCAGGACACTGTTCATCCACAAGAGATGCAAGTGCTTGCAAAAGAAAGGACCTCTCAGTCAAGCAAACAAAACCAAGCCCTGGGCCACCAAGTACCTCTGCTGACTTTGGTAGGTCCACTTCCATGTCTAAAATTGGGCATATGTACAAGATGGGGACTTCTGCATAGTCTTTTGCAAGAGGCTCCAAGAGAAACTGTATAGTTTCAAGGCAAATGTAAAGATTTATCCCAGATGAAAATTTGGTTAAAGGGCAAAGTAAGACTATCTTATTGATTTTAATGCTTACCAGTCATTTCCCTGTGTGGTCACAGGTCGTCAAACAGCTCAGCCTGAGTCCTCCTCAGCTGTAGCTTGTTTAATTTATTAGGCTATTTGAGAGTTTCTCTCAAAATCCCCACCCTTCTGCACTCAAGGTAAGTTGTGGTGACATGGTTTCTCAGGAACAAGTAGCTGTGTCCCTGCTGTCTGAGAAGTCCCTTGGATAGAGCATCTGTAGCAACTTCCATAGGAGGCATCTGTTTATCCCCTCCCACAAAATGGCTGAGCAACAAGGGGAAAAGAGCAACCAGGTAGAGATTTATAGTGATGATAGTGTTTGCTCTTTCTTTCTTTATGTGTCACGACAAGAAGGTGGAAGGATCAGGAGGAGTCAAAAAGAAGCCTTATGTCCAGCAATACTACTTTGCTCCTGATTCACACAGCTAAAACCACCACAAAATGTCACTTGTAAAGGAGATAGAAATATTTCTGCCATTTACCTTAATGGGAAGTCACACTTATTTCTCTTTGTCTGTGGGAGTTAGCAACAGCCAGCAGTTGTGGGGAACTTTGCTAATCCATGCACCTCCTCATTGTCTTGTAGAACAGGAAAATGGGATCAGGACAAGCCACAGAGAACCTGCTATCAAGCATGCAGTGCCTAAATCACCACAAAACAGTGTCCAAAAGATCTGTTCAAAAGGTGAACAAATGCATTCAAGTTGATAAGGACTTGGAAGAGGAGAACCCTAGTGCAGACCTGAGCCTTCCTTCAACAACTGACCTTTCCTGGAAACCACAGCAACCTCCAGGGAACACATCACCTTCCCAGCAAGGTGTCTCCTCCTCCTCCCAAGGACAGTGTGCCATGCCAGCTCTGCTACCACTGCTGCCAGCCCCTCCACCCCTACCCCCTGGGCGTAAGGTGCCTCCTCCTCCACCCCTTCCCGTGCCCGGCATAAATGCCCCAACGCTCCCACCTCCCCAGCCATGCAGTGATCCTGAGTGCAGTCACCTCACTTGCGGACATGGCAGGCAGCCTCACCTTAAGAAGACCCCGACGCTGAGGATGAAGGTGTTTCACTGGCAGAAGCTCCCCTCTGACGTGGTGAGACGTACGTGCTTGCTTGTAACACTGGGCTGCTCGGTTCATTTTGTTTGCATCCAAACAAAAATGCTCATGCTGGAGGGCTAGGCCTTGACTCAGTCAGTCAGGTCACACAGGTGTTTCCACTGCTCACTCACTCCTACAAAAAATTAGTAATCTCAAATAAACATGGAAAGCCAGGCCTTTGCCAATAAATGGAGGAAACTAATTTGGGAAAAGCACTAAACTGAGGCTCTGTGGGTGATAAAATTATATTAACTTCTCAGTCTCTATTTGTTACTTGTTAAAGTGATGTTGTGAGTCTGCACTAATTAAGGTTTGCAAAATGCTCTAAGCGTGTTGAGTGGGAAGATCTGTTGAACAGTCATGCTCTGTGGTTCTTCCTAATGAGCTGCTGGCACATCACCAGTGAGAGTCTTCTCAGCTGAAGCTTATACTTTTTTTTTTTTTCCTTGCACAGTCAGAAGATACATCAGCCAAGATCCAAGGCTGAAAACTCTTGTCAATAGGGCTGGGGAACATGTACCCGCAGGGTAGGATGTAGCCTCCAACTTCGTTTCAAGCTGACCACAGCCACATAATTTGTGTGAGGTGTTTCCCCCACACAAAATGACACTAAGGTCTGTGGTTAACATGTTCTGCCAAAGGGTTTTTGCAAAGCCTGTCCAGCCCTCAGCAAGGAGGCTGTGAACGTTTCCATTCATACTGCAGCTTTTAACACTCGGCTCACACAACGCAGGCCTCTTAGTTGTTCTTCATTGTCCTTATTACCAGGAAAGGGGGACATCAGGGCATAGAACTTGCTGCTATCATAAAATATAAACATGCATGTTAAAAACCAATTTGAGCCACAGGCTGCTGTCTTGGGCAGGGACACGAATTCAGATTCAGCCCCAGTGTCTTCAGTGCCACTGTTGCAATCTCTCTAAAAGAAAAAAGAGGTGAGATTCTTTGTTAAAGATTCCAGTGTTGTAGACAAGTTCACGTTTTGAAGTGTCATGTGTTATTTGGATGGCTCCTAATGATTCCGGTAATAATGCTGGGCTTGTGAGTCCTTGCCTTTTGCAAAGAGAGACGTTTACCTAATTGGACGCAACATCCCCTCTTTGGGTAGCACAATTCTGCAACATGTAGCTGCTAAGCAATAGCAAAAAGAATTTGGAGCAGCCCATTAAGTTCATCTGCTGCCTTCTGTTCAGTGAATTGAATGTGGTGCTAGTTTTCCAGGTTTAATTAGCCTTCAAGCCTTTGGGATGCTGCCTGTGGGAGCTGCCACTCTTAAATAATTAACATTTGTCCAGGACTAATAAGCATTGTATTTCGTTCATCATCTAAAATGTTTTCCCTTTCACAAATCACACTGCCTTGAAAGTGCTCCTCTACCTCCATGGTCCGTCTTGAAGCATTGTTCTCTTCCAGAAAGCCGTTCCATGTGGGCTGTGATGCCGAGCAGCAGCAAGGAGCTCGTAGAGCCCGACTACGCAAGCTTGGAGCTACTTTTCTCTGTCCCACCAACAGCACCTAAGGAGAAAATGGGGCCAAAAACAAAGAAATCAAAAGAGGTACTTGGACTGCTTGCTTTTGTAGGGCCCGGCAAAATTCTTGGAAATTAAAAGCTTATTCCCTCTTTATTGTTGTTCATCTTTTATAGTAAGGTAGAAAGCTTGGGATTTTTTTATATCAACTTCCTAAGACTGCCTTAAAAAGGCACAGGAGAGGTTTAGAATTAAACATGTTGAAGTAACTCTGCTGAGGGACGGGTCTTAGGCTGCAAGAGGGAGTATGTGGGAATGTCAGTACCTATTCTTATAAATCGGAATACTCTAGACAAATCAGTTCCCTTCTCTATGCCTTTGCCACTCTCTCGTTCTAAAATAGATCTAATGATCTGTACTGCTGCAAATTGCTCTGAGTTTGATCAATGAAGATCGTTAATAATGTTATTACTAGAGAAGAATGAATCTGGCTCAACAAACAGCTCTCAAATTTCTGTTAAAATCAAGGTAAATGTGTTTCTAGCTGACTGATTTTTTTCTTTTCACAGATCACATTCATAGGTCCAAAGAAAAGCCTCCTTCTGAGTATATTTCTGAAGCAATTTAAGTGGTAAGATTTGGAGGGTACTATCTGAATTTTTTGATGTGTGTACATGTTTATTCAGACACTACATGAAATAAATTTAGCAGAAATACTTTACAACCACTATCTTTCTTTAGCAAGGAGTCAATTTTTTTTTTTTTAAACTAATGAAATGTGGCAGTCTGTTTCCTAGTAATTAATATCATGTCTCAAACTGGTAAACCTAAAACTTAACACCACTAATTCCTTAAGAGGCAATATTCATCAATAACAGCAAAATTATGTGTAAACATTTTTCTTTGGTATTACTGACATAAATATCAACTGCTGGCAGCACTTATTAGTGAAGAATCCTGATTGGAAGTTTCAAATTACTTAATTGATTTTAAAGAGACATATCCAGGCCTGCAGATCCAATATTGTCTATAGTTTTTATTTGCAGCTTTTCTATAAATAGGAAACAGTTTCTATAGTTAAAGAAATGGAAACTTACCAAGCGACAGTCCTCACAGGAGGGGGAAAAAAAAAAAGTAAAATAAAGGAATCTGTACTAGGTTTTGGCGAAATATCTTTACTTTTAAGTTCCCTGAAACTACTGCAAAATGAAGATGGATTTTCTGCTCTTTGCCTGCCCTTTGTGCAATGGCCCATGTTACACGGGCTTCAAAAAGAAACTCAGCCTAGAAGTTCCCTTGTGTTAAGAATAAATCAGAATCTGTCAGAGGGATTTGATTTTTTTTTTTTTTTTCCCCAGTCCTTTTTCCATTGCAAACTGCTTCTCAGTGGGGAAGGGCTGTGCATAGCCTAATCCAGTTGCTATTTCCTCTCTCTGCATGATGCCCTCACAGCGGTTACGCTCTCCCGAGAGCAGCTAGTGACCGTGGGATCGGAGAGTTGAGCCCTGCCTGCACTGGTGAGGCACGCGGCCGCCCTGCAGCTGGGCGCTGCCTCTGCTTGCGCTGGTGCCTGCAGGGAGCCAAGCCCTTCAGAGCCCAAACCAGGGCAGTCTGGACTCATTTCAAAGACACGCTGTCTGCCAGAGTTTCAGGCGAGGATTTTGGGTAAAATCTTCTGGGATCTTTATAAATCTCAGCAGGAGGACAGCCATCAGTTTTAGCCTCGGCTTTGCTGCAAGCAGTGGAGAAATTCTGAAGTAAATCTCTTCTCAGTGACACTGGACACCCACAGTAAAAGGAGAGCCTTCAGGGTTTGTTGTGTAAAGATGAATAAAGCCCAGAAAGCACATCTAAATTATGAGGAATATTGCTTTGGGGTTAAAAAAAATCCTTTGCTCTTTCACACCTCCACTGCACTTCTGAGGACTAAGATCCAAAATGTAATGGAAGGCAAGTATAGTAAGAGTTACTGCATTTATTCCTACAGTGCTAGCTGTTTGTCTTGTTACTCCTCCCTATGCTGTTGCTCCACAGCACCTCTCTCTTCCTTACAGCTCCAATGAAGAGATTGCTGCCATGATTCAGAAAGGGGATGGATCCAAGTTCGATGCTGAGATACTGAAGCAGCTACTTAAACTGCTGCCTGAAGACCATGAGGTATCTATTAAGCGTGTTATTCTGATGGAGTTCAGTGTATTTTGTGCTTAGCTTGAAACACTGGCACAAGCTAAAGCAAACTATGACCAGATCCCACATCCTCCTGCACCATCTCAGTCAATGACCTTCCAAGGTCCAAGCAAAGTCTGCCCCAGCCACAGTCTGGCATCTTCACACAAAGGTTAGGCAACAGCACGTTGGGAGACTCAGCACAGGTGTAGACCAACTGCTGCTCTCTGTTCTCGTTATTTTAATTAGATGGATGAGGTACATTAGCATCTGTGGACTTAGGTGAATGAAGAGCCATTCAGTGCAGGTTTCAATGAGAACGGACCCATCTTTTTAAAGGGGTTGCTAGACTTGGATGCATTGTAGCTTGCTGAAGCCCTGCCTGTGGATCAGGGACCTGTCATCCAAAGTGGTGTACAAATGCAGATGACCTTGCAGTCAAAACCAAACTTACGTATTTGCCCTTGCAAACCAGTTCATATACACAGTATACGTCTGCCTCAGTCCCACTGCCTGTGTGCACAGCAAGTTCAAAAAAGCCAGTGAAGTGATTGGGAACCAGAAATATTTGTGTGGGTATTTTACTGTTTTATTCCTTGTAGATAAATGGCCTCAAATCTTGCAAAGAAGAAAAATCAGAACTAGCAAATGAAGATCAGTTTTATCTCCATCTCTTGGAAATTCCTAGGTAAGCAAAACTGTCCTTGTCTTCAACCCATCAGTGTGGTTCTTATAAGATTTGTCCGTAAGAATGAAGGCCTCTGTGTCTGTGCTAGAGGGATGTTCCTGACATTCAGCCTTCAGGATAAATCACCTGACTGCTGACTACATCACCTAAATCACCTGACTACAAATGTAGAGCTGTTCTGAGAAACTTTACTTTCCTAAATGCCAAACAGGCTTTCAGACACCTTTGAAAGTTAAATTAACCTTGATATTAGTAAGTTAGCGAGAAAACTCTTGACTGTTGTAACAGTCTGTATGGCACGAAGTTGCAGACTGAATCCTGCCACCAGGCTGCTGATCCACTCCACCCCTGGTGTAGAGATTCCAGTCTACCAAAGGGAGTCCACAAACCCATGAGTGAATCACAGCCAGTGCTTTCACCACCTCCCTGGTTTTTACCAAGTCAGATGAGGTGTGCACAGAGAAGTCTTTATGCTGTTTGTAAAAAATCATGGTGACATGTTGTAATTCATAGGAATAGCCCTCCATAAATCTGGTAAGTTGCCATGCCACAGCCAGAGACACTTTTTTGAAAATGTTGAGGTGAAAATGTGACTTTTCATTTTCTCAAATGTACAGCTAGCTTTAAAGGTACTTTAGAAAACGTTTTCATGGCTCTTCCACAACATTAATCCATGGTGAGGCATAAACATCGTTAAAGGACATCATTGCAAAAATAGTCTGAATTTCTGTTTGGGAAGCTAAAAGGAGGAACAAAAATGTTGGCTAGTGCTGCCTAGGAATTGTCAAAAATTATGGCCTCATTATGCAAGGAAGTCGCTGCCAGATGTCAGTGCAACACTGCTTTCTGAAAGAGGAGATGACAATTGTTTCTAGGACATCTTTGGAAATATCTAAGTGTTTGATTTATTTATAATCCAGTTCTCGTGTCAGAGTGTTAAAGAGAACCTAACAATGCTGGTACTGCGCTTTGCCCAAAAGAGGTGATTCTCTTGCTGAACACAAGTCAGTTAATCAGGCCTGTGGGTTTTGTTTTTGTGGTATTTCTTGATTTTTTTTTTCTTCCCCCCACTGATCTCTTTTAGCTACCAGTTGCGGATTGAATGTATGCTGATTTGTAAGGAAACACAAATTCTGCTGGAGTGTCTGTGGCCAAAAGCACAAGCCATCAAGACAGCCTGTGAAAGTAAGTGCATCAGTGCTGTGTCTATGCCCAGGCTCAGTCATAGGAAGCTCCTCTTCTCCTTTAATAGCACCAGCGGTAGCATATGCTCTACTTTGATCAAAATTAACCTTTTAATTGCTGAATATGTGAACATCAGAATGATTCTGCAGATTTCTGCTTCTAAGAATTCATTCTACAGAACTGCAATTCGTGCTGCCCTGCTCTGAAGTGGAGCTTCTGTCAACATGAGTAACACAAACCTCTCTCCTGCCAGTGATTCTGTAGAGAAGAAGGAAATTTCCGTTACGTCAATGCCAGATTCTGTTTGAATGTAGGTTAAATTTTTAGGTGCAGCAGGGATTTTTGTCCATAGCAATGAATCAGTTGCAGTTTTTCCTCTAGTGCATACTGGTTGCAGTCCAGCTTAGCTCTGCAGTGGAGCAGGCCACAGTGACATACGGACAGACAGAATCTGGTTTGGCTTCCAAAACGGATGTCCCAGGTGATGCTCACTACTGTTTCAGAAGCTCTTCCACACAAAATTAGCCTTAGTTTTAGTTTTAAGTCAAATCTTTCCTGAAGTTGCTCTTGGATTCTAGCTTCTGTTCAGTAGTTTTAGAGAGTCATTGACCTCTTGTTGAACAGTTAAACTGCAAAATTCTGTTTATGGTTGCACATAAAACTTGGTTATACCTGGTAGTCTGATGTCAGTGCTATAGTTACTCTTTACTGTGTTGTCGTCAACAGCTCTCTGCAGTCTCACCCCGTCCCTGTGCCCCTTCCATCCATTGCGTTGGGTCAGCGTTTCTGTTCTAGTTCTGCCAAAAACTTTATTCTTACCCCAGATTCTCCTGTTAAAATGCACAGCTTCTGGTTATCACTCTCACTAACGATGATACCGAGGCAAAAAGCCCTTTGCTTTCCTTAACTTAGAATAATAAGTGCTGGAAATGGGGGCTATAGACTTTCACAACTTTATACACTTTCTCATATGCAGCTCTCCCTCATCCCCTAGATGACACATCTATACTCCAAACCTGATGGGAAAACTAATTTTCCATCTATTTGTAGAGAAGAGACCACAACAGAAACTTACTCATTCCACTTCCATTCAGCTGATTTATTTCTGTACAGGTATATTTCCAAATCTATAACAATATCTTGAGATAATCTTTGACGAGAATTTTGTTATCCCCGCTGTCAAATAAGGAAAATCCTATTTCAGATCATTTAATTTAATGTATTGAAAATGTCTCTCTTTTTATTCTTCAGCACTTCTTACCAGTCACCGACTGCCAGTTTTCTGCCAATTGATTCTTAAAGTTGGAAACTTTATGAATTATGTAAGTAAACTGATTTCTTTAACTGCTATCTGCAGAAAATACAAAAGTAAGACTTGGAAACTGAAGGAAGGAACTTTTTTCTGTATCTTCTAGGGGCATCACACTGGAGATGCTGGGGGTTTTAAAATTAGTGCCTTGCTCAGACTGACAGAAACAAAAGCAAACCAAAGCCACATTACTCTGCTTCACCATATTTTGGAGGTACAACAAAACTATGAAATTATTCTGGTGTGCATTATTCTCAAATATTCATTCCTTGGGAACTAAGGGGCTTTAGCCGCAGTAGCACCCCACCATAGGTATCTGGAGGATGAGCCTCTGTGCCTGAAATACAATGAAAACTTTTCCACCATTCTCTGAGCAGTCGGGATCAGATCCATACACAGGAATGTTTAGAGAGTTAACACTAGGTTTCCTTTCTCAAGTTCACTTAACATATGTGCTTGCTGTTTTCTTTCTTTTCATCTCCATCTGCTCTCTTGTGTTGACATGCCTCCCAAATGCAGATGTCAAATGAAACTAATTTTAGTGGTATGAAGACAAAATCTCAGGTCAGTTTGTGCACTGTGGCAGCACATGGGGTGTAAGCCTGAGCCGTTAAAAGAGCCTTTTGCTTTCTTTTTAACTCCTTATGGGTGCCAACATGAGAAAAAGAATGAACAAGACTAAATGTACCTCAATGCTTATAAGAATTAAAACTGAAGTGTTAGTTTTTCAATTGTGACATTGTCCAGCTGAAAATCGTTCGTACTCTTGGACTGACTCAGCATGGTAACCATTTTTCACTTCAATTTTAGGAGGTTGAAAAAAAACACACAGATTTGCTGCAGCTTCCCAGAGATCTTGACTTTGTTTCCAAGGCAGCAGGGTAGGACATTATTGTTTGTTTTTGTCATGTATGAATTGCCAACCTCTTTAAAGCCAACAGGGAGCTGAGTCATTTTGTGGTGATGTAATAAGGTCACAGGACTTCTCTGCTGTGGGAGAGTGACATTCTCTTCTAACACCAAGCAGTTTTGAGATTTATAAATCAACTTGGTTAAGACTCTTTATGTGGAGCTCAGTGGGAGCTTCTTTCAGAAGCTCCAGTACTACCTTAGAAGTAAAACTGTAAATAGTGAGCTCCCTCATTTTCAAGGACTGAATTCTTCTTCCACATACTGCAATAGAAACATATCTTCCCTGACATTTCTCAGTCATACTCATGTGCAAGCCCATCAGGAGGTACATCCGCAGAGCTGGTGTAAGGAGGGAATGACTGGGGTAATTTACTGGCAATCAGGGGACCTCGGGGGTCCCCGAGTTGAGTATCAGCACAAACTTCTGATATATTCGGACAGGAAGGAAAAAAAAGCTGCTTCTGCAGACTTTCTTCCATGTGCTTGAAAGCCTCATGAGTCTCACACCATCTCTTTTTGTTTAGCTCAGAAGAATCACATGGAGATATGTTAAATTACACTAATCAGAATCCAAATGTATAGCGCCAGGATTAATGTTTTGAACCCAGTTATGAATGCATAGGAACCTTCAGTGTTTTGCTTGTATTTAGAAGTGGGGGAAACATGTAAATCTGGAAATGGATTGACATTGTTCAGTAGCTGCTAAATAAATAGAGAAAGTATTTCTATTTGATGATGCAACAGAAAGTATTATGGCTTTTGAGAATTATCTGTGCAGAATTTAAGTTGGATGTTGTTTTGAAACATGAATTTCCTTTTGTGTTGCGTGATAATAGAAAAGCTTTTGATAGCTAAAACTAAATCTTGCTGGTCAATTATATGAGTGTGCTCTTTTTTATAAAGTAATTGCCCTCTAGTTTAGTCAAACTCTCAAACTTACAAAATTGATTTGCTAATCAACCTGCGGAGAAGTGTTTACAATGCAAATCCTGCAAGGGACTCTTCTAATGCTGCTGACATCTGGATGCACCGTGAAAACACCACGACAGGCTTTGCTGATTCAGTATTTTTTGTCTGGCACAAAG